ATCTTCTATCTAAAGAAATTTGAAGTAAACATATGATAATCCATGTTTTTCTCCAGTGAATATAAGTGTACATGAGTTTTTTTTTTCGACAGTGGATCTATAAAAGGCTCATATTTCATATTAATGACATGGACTCCACTTTTGATTTTACAAACCTCCTGATAAAAATTAAGAAATTACTGTCAAAGATTTTTATCATAAAGGCTTGTTCACACCGGGACGAATATCGCGCGCGATTATCGCCGACGTTTAACGCCTCGCGACTAAACAAAGGGCTCCAATGTTAGTGTGCACACCGACGCACAAAACGCGAGGCGTAAAAGCGTTATTTAAAAAAAATTTTTTACGTTTTCTTGGTTTGACGCGCCGCGTTAAAAACTGGCCGACCAATGAGATTGGCACTTTTGTTCACGTGCCTGGAGCTGCTGAAGTTACAGTAAAACACGAGCGTTATTTAAAAAAAAATTTTTACGTTTTCTTGGTTTGACGCGCAGAGTTAAAAACTGGCCGACCAATGAGATTGGCACTTTTGTTCACGTGCCTGGAGCTGCTGAAGTTACAGTAAAACATTATGTACAGTTGTAGGCCTGTATGTTAACAAGTAACCCTGCAGTTTTCTGTAAAACAATAGTTTTCTGTAAAATAAAATAAGTGTTGTATTATCTTATCATTATTATATGTTTTAATTAATTTGTTTTAAAAATCGCAGTTAGAATCGCAATTTTAACCAGAAAAATCACAATTAGATTCTTCCCCAAATTGTGCAGCCCTAGTTCAGACTATAAAATGGTGCAATTGCTGAAAAATTTGATTAAAGTATTATTATTATTATTATTATTATTATTATTATTATTAATATTATAGTACTATTAATAATAATTCATAATATTTGTAAATTTGGAAAATATTTTTTATATAAGTAATTATATAAAAAATAATTAATTAATTAAATGTGAATCTAAAAAAAAACTATTACATATAAACTATTATACCAGTGTTATTTTAGAATCATTGAAAAACTATTAGAGTTTTAATTATATTTTGAATTGATATATATATATATTTATAGTTTCCGTATTCATTTTAATTTTAGTACAGTTTTAGTACTTTTGTTGTGTTTTTGTCATTTCTATACTTTTTCATGTCTTTATAGTTTTTATTAAATGAAATGTTCTTTAAATACTTCAATGTTTATTTTATGTCAAGCGACAACAAAACTGTATATGGTTTTAGTTTAAGTTTCAATCGACTACAATAATAACCCTGATACTAACATGCATACAAAGATAAGATTTCTAAGAGCATGTACAGTATTTTAACGTTTTTAAAATATTTTCTTTTTATTTATCATGCTCACTCTTAATTGTCACTGCTCACCCTTATACTGTACATAAAGATTATATTACATTTAGATGCACAACTCATCCGGTACCAATGTGCAATTTTTATAAGCAGTCTGGCCTACGATATTTACCTTGAAAAAAACCCATAGATCACATTAGCAACTGCATGACAACACCTTGTCAGCCATTTACAATGCCACATTTGTAGCCACCTTCTTGTACTCTTCATAAGTGTTTTCTTGTTATCATGGTCTTTTTTTATAGTAATTGTCTCAGGAAGAGATTCATCTTTGCATGGTGAAAAGAGCTTATCAGTGGTCCGGACAGAGCTCACTCGCCCTCTCATTAATTAGCAGACGTCCATCAGGGAATGAGGCATCTAGAGCTCCACTTAGAGAACACTTTCTAGAGATACGGTTTCTGTGTTACATGCTCTCGTATTGGTTCTTCTCTGTGGTTTGACTGTGGAATTCCTCCCATGACAGAGCAGTTCTCTGAGTGTTTTCCTTTCTGGACCTCTCGAGTGGGGCTTTAGAGGGAGTTTCTCTCCTAAAGACATCTGTTCTCAAATTAATAGCCTCGCGTAACACAGTGGGGTTTCAGTCAAATCCTTTCTGCCCTGGGAAATGTTTCGTGTCAACACTGTGATTGACACTGTATACACAGTGTGTGCTTGGCCGTCCGGACTGACATGTTCTCAAACAGAGATTGCTGAGGACAGAAGCCTGCAGCCTCTGCTGTTTTGCAGGTTTTGACGCTCCTGCGAGATCAGGGCGCTTGAGACGTTTCTCAGGTTCAGGCTTCTTTAGAAGTTCTTCACTTTACTGAAGCTATTTGACACAGAATTATTACTTTTGGTTCAGAGCAAAGGTCTTTTTCTTAGACGTTCATTATAATTTATTACACTGTGTAATAGTCTTGTGTTCCTACCAGAACAACTTGGAACAAATATGATTTATTTATGCTGCAACAGAAAAATGTCCTTTGACATAGGCCTCATCTGACTCAACCACAGAAACTTTTAATAAATTCTGTCATCATTTACTCAGCTTCATGTCATTTTAATCCTTATGACTTTATTCCATAGAACATGAATGGAGATATTTAATAGAATGTCCAAGCTACTCTTTTCCATAACTTGAGAATAGACTGTGATTGCATTTAATGGTCAGCAAAAAAGAACCTTAAAAGTAATCTATACTAATCATTTCCAATTCCATATTATAAATTTGAATATAAATTAGCATAAATGAGATTTGAAGGGTATGGTGGATTTTAAGCTAAAAAGAATTGGCTTGCAAAGAATATAGCGCACAATTCTTTTGAACTTCTGTGATATGTCTGTGGTGCTACTTGTCCTTTTTGGATTTGAACTAAACATCATGTTTTGTCTTCCATAGAATAAAGTCATGCAGGATTGGAATTTACATTTACACTTTTTACATTTAATCCAAAGCAATTTACTTTGCATTTAAGGTATAAATTTTATTAGTTCATGTATTCCCTGGGAATCCAACCCATGACCTTGGCATGACTGGTGCAATGCTGTAATGTTTGAGCTACAGGAACGCAATTACAGAATGTCATGATCAGGGGTGTGTCATATGACATATTTTAGTTGACATTGTTATAGATTACATCTAGATTGCAGCGATACATGACATGGTGAAAAATTACTGAATGAATAATAGGCTACTTAAAGTAGTTTAAGATGAATTTTAAAATCGTGCCCCCTAAAAGCACAAGTGGCCCCTGTCTGGCCCCCCCAGTTACTGTGGTCTAGAACCGCCTCTGGTCATGATGGTGAGTAAACATGACAGAATCATAATTTTTGGGTGAACTATTGCTTAAAGGATACAATAAATTTCAATGAACTCTGGATAACACCTCCTCACAAATCAAAGAAGGCTTAGAGGACACTCAACTGTTCCAAATAAACCGCTCAGGCAGACATGCGCAATTTGATCCTTAATAAACCAAAATAGACTAATTATGATCTCGAAGAGGGATGCTTAGCAATTATGTTTTCTGTCTTTGTAACGCCAAGCCAGCAGAGGTAGCCCTCGCCCGAGTACTGACCGTGAAAAAAGCACTTTTGAAGGTGACCAGATTTCTGAAATGGAAGCTGGGCACATTTCCTAGTTGAGTGGTCAAAATATAATTTAAATTTCAGTTATCTCTGGATTTAAAAATAGGAATAATATATTTTTGTTTTTTTGTTTTTTTGTTTGTTTGTTTTTAAGTGTTCCGAGTTCCATAAACTATTATTATTAATTAATAATTAATAATATCTGGTTTTAATTTACCAAAAATAACACTATGAAAAGTAGTAAATAGTAACGACTGCAAAAAGCAAACCAAACAAAACAGTAGTATAACAAAATTATGACTTCATAAAAATTTAAATAAATGAGAATATATAATAATACATATTACTGTATTTTAAAATATATATATATTTTAACATAATCTAATTGTATATATTAATTTTCACAAACTGTAATATTATTGTAATTAAATATACTGTATAGTAATTGAAACTTTTTGAATGTTTTTGATAGTGAGTGGATCTTTACTATCTCTAATTAGGCCTTTTATTTTCCATTTAAGGCTCATTTTGAGCACAAACTTTGTGATTTCTGCAAATGTATTTGTTGCAGCTGTAATTGTTTTTTGTTGTTGTTTTTTTTTCATATTGTGGTGTACTGTATGGCCACCCATGTGGTTTAAGATGCGTGTGTGTGGGAATTACTGCGTTGTGATGGTGGAACTTTCACAAATGTTTTAAATTGTCTTCAGAACATTCTCTCACTCTGTTCAGGCCCTGCTATAAAGCACATACAAACAGTATTACTTTGATTTAACATGAAACATTAGTACGTGACTACCTTGAAAAGGATAACTGTGTCTCTTTTCATAACTGATGATAAATGTGCTCGGTTGTCATGCAATTTAAGTTCTTTATGGCTAAAATAGCAGCATACAACCATGTAATCAGTGCTTTAAAAGAGCAACTAACATGAAATATGACAGCCTGTATAAGAGTGCATTTCAGGAAAATGAAAAAAAAAAGGGATAAATAGGCCTATGAGATGATCTGTTATTGCATGCCTCTGCCCTACGGCTGAATAAATCTGTCCTTTGCTGGCAGCAATTGGGTTGCGCCCCATAGGATCAGTCTCATAAGAGTAAAGCAGGGCTTGAGCGCGACTATCAGTCTTACAGTAAACCTGTGCTACTGTGTTTAAACAACAGTCTGTAAGACAGTGCTTTCTAAATAATATTAGAACAAGCATTTATTTACAGTGCATGTGTCACTGTAGGCATATTAAAATGACAGGATGTTTTGAGAATTTCAGACTAATTTGTTCTCCCTTAGGTACCATTATGTCCCCATTATGGATATAGCCGTGGATGTGTTTTCTCTAAGTGATAGAACAGTGTGGGAAAGGCTATGGAAAATCCCTATCACCCCGCACAGGAAGTCACATGTGAACAGGGACTGTGTTCCATCAGATTGACTGTAAACAAAGCTTGCCCTCTAGTGGACTAACCGTTCAATCACAGCAGGATGTAGCTAATGTAGTGGCTAATGTGACATTTATCGATGTGCCATTTAAATGTGAGTTATAATAATAACATGCTTTCCATTTGTAGGGAATTTCACAAGGACCTCGTTTACCAGCGAATGGGCGTTCTGTAGATATAACAGGCCCGGCTCAACAGCAGAGGCCTCCGGTTCTCAGTTCTCAGCAGAAGAACCCAGGCCAGGACCAGAACCTTCAAAGACCGCTGGGTCAACCCCAGCTCAACGTTTCTGATACAGTGAGTGCTGCCGTTTGGAAATGTTCTTCATGCCTAAATGCCTATGACTATGAGGTTTTCTGAAGATAAAACTGTTTACAGAGAGGTGAATTAATTTTACAGCTCACAGAAAGTGCATTAGTTTTTATTGACTTAAGTGTCACACTTTTTTACTCGGGGTAAGTTTATTTTTTCAATTTCAAGTCAATTTCTGTATAGGCACATACATTTCATGGCTGCAAAAAACAAAACAAAAAAACTACTGAATCTGTTCCACTGTTATCACCCAAAAAAAATATACAGTTCATTTAGCGTTGTGTGACAACTTGCCCCATATATATATGTCACATTGTACAGAGCATGCCTGGAACAGGCATATATAAACAATGCAATATATTACAAAATATAATTCTGACTACAATAAGAACATAACTTAAAAAATTAACTAAATTCAGTCGATGTCCTGTAGGCCTATCTGCCTGAACTCAAATCTCCGCATCGACTTGAACTGTGTGCTCGTCTGTGCATAATCAAACGCATCAAGGGAGACTGATGCAGAGGCAATTCATTAAATTCTGTGTCTTTGCCTCGGAAAAGGTGACAGTTTTAATTTTGTTCAGGAGGCTGAAACCGCGTTATGCTGCCACACTGGAGACCAGAATTACTAGCGCCACTCCAGCCAGAGTTTTGTAGTCAGGAAACATTTCTCCCAGGGAAGTGATCAGAAGTTTGCAGGACTCTCTGAACGTGGGATTTCCCGATCCTGCAAGCACTCGTTTCACCGGGAGGAAATCCTGCAGCACACGCTCCTTCTGAACCCCTCTGCGTTCCATAGTGGTCACAAACGCGCTCCAAAGCATCCAGCGCATGCTTTGTGCCCGGATAGTGAGATGCACTGAGTACGGTGTCGAGGTCAGCGATGAGACCCACATGCTCCAAAGGGAATCTTTTTTTGATAGATTTGGTGAGCTCTGCTATATACTCTGCACGCAGAACCGAAAAGTTCTGCGCATCTGTCCGCGTCAGCGTAATGCCACAGAACTTGCCATCTTGCAATGCCTTGTTGAATTCTGGCTCCGCCTTACCTGGCCCATTCATCAAGTCCTCAAGACTAGCAAGAGTCATGTTAACAACAGGTTTTTGGAATGTGAGATTAATGCGGTTCACAATGGCCAAGACATCAGACAACAAGTGAGTTAGGGCAGGGAATGTGTATGTTTGAATGCGCTTTCTAATACCCTTAGCTATCGGGCAGTTTCTCGAGTTTTCCTCCTCCTCCAACTCCAATAACAGAGAAACTCAGTTGGCATATACACCCTTAACTGCCCTCTCCAATGACAGCCAGCGTGTAGCCGATGGTTGTTTTTAGACTCAACAGGTCATGTGCCTCCATTTCGTTTCATTTAATCGGTTTGTTCGAATGGGGGGAATTCTTGTAGTATGTGTATATGTTATTAATAGTGGTGACATATGCACTTATTTCATGCACAGCATTGCTGTTCTGTGCGCACCATAGTGATTGTTAATTATTTAATGTAGGGACAGTCATTCTGACGAAGATCCTGTACAACTCTGGCCTTTCGACCCACCATTACATTCACTCCATCACTTCCCAGTCCAACTACCCGATCTAGAGCTACACCACAGCCTGACAACATATCTTTTATTTTTGTGGTAATGCATTCTGCAGTGGCAGAGAGTATTACATGGATTCTAATGAACACAGTTTCAGGGTCCCCTCTCTGTGGAAGTGTCAGGTAATCAGCATTTTCTCAACCGTGATATTAGTAGTTTCATCAACTATTATCCCGATGTATCTGCTGTTAGCGATGTGATCATCAACAGTGCTAGTTATAGTCATTGCTATAGCCTCCTCCATCTGACTGACAGTGTCGTGGTGGGTGTATGTGTGTGCACTGTTATGCAACACAACCTTAAACTGTGTTTTTAATGCCTCGTTACAGGCAGCCTGTGATTTTTCGACATGCTTGACCATTGCCACGTTCTGGTTGACCACTCGTAAAGCTTCAATGTGACTGATTTCTGCATCGTTGTGCACCCTCGGACAAATCCATTACCCATGTTGATGATGTTCATGAACATTTTGCCGCCTTCCCTCCTCAGCCACGTAAACCCCTGCTCCCACTGAACCCGGTACTCCCTCCTGACTGCCATCAGTGAGCTGTCGGTGACTGATGAATTTTGTCTGTTTGTCCTTCATCGTCCACTGCATCACTTCTTCTTTTTTCACCTTTATTAACAATATCATAACTCAGCTGCTGTGACATTTTTGCAACTGTTTGCAGCGGTGACAAAGACGAGACAATACAAGATAATTGCTAATTAAGAAGTGAAGAAGTGACGTGACATGTGACCAAGTATGGTTACCCATACTAGGAATTAGTGCTCTGCATTTAACCCATCCTAAGTGC